TCTGGGGGCAGGGACTGATTTATGGGGCCAGGGATGGATCTGTGGGGCAGGGAAGGGGTTCTGGGGCAGATATGTGGGGCAGGGACTGATCTGTGGGGCAGGGATGGATTTATGGGGCTGGGATGGATCTGTGGGGCTGGAAAAGGGATCTGTGGGGTTGGGATGGATCTGGGGGGCTGGGAAGGAAATCTATGGGGTGGGGAGAGATCTGGGGGGCAGATCCCGATCTATGGGGCAGATCTGGGGGCAGGGATGGATCTGGGGGGCAGGGACTGATCTATGGGGCAGATCTGGGGGCAGGGATGGATCTGTGGGGCTGGGAAGGAGCTCTGGGGTAGGATCTGTGGGGCTGGGATGGATCTGGGGGGCAGATCTGGGGGGCAGGGACTGATTTATGGGGCCAGGGATGGATCTGTGGGGCTGGGAAGGAAATCTATGGGGTGGAGAGAGATCTGGGGGGCAGGGACTGATCTGTGGGGCTGGAAAAGGGGATTTTTGGGGTTGAAAAAGGGATTTTTTGGGGTTGGAAAAGGGATTTTTGGGGTTTTAAAGGGATTTTTTGGGGTTGGAAAAAGGGATTTTGGGGTTTTAAAGGGATTTTTTGGGGTTGGAAAAGGGATTTTTGGGGTTTTAAAGGGATTTTTGGGGTTGAAAAAAGGGATTTTTGGGGTTGAAAAAGGGGATTTTTGGGGTTAGAAAAGGGAATTTTGGGGGTTGAAAAAGGGGATTTTTGGGGCTAAAAAAAAAGGGATTTGGGGGGAGGGACAGAACCCCTCCCCACCCCCCAAAACGACCCCTCCCCCACAAATCCACCCCCCATAAATCCACCCCTCCCCCCTAAATCGACCCTCCCCCAAAAAAATAAACTTCTATGCCAAAAATCTTTATTTTTGTGGTTTTTAAAGTGTTTTTGGTTTTTTTTGGCCCCTCCCCCTTTCCAAAATAAACTCGACCCTACAAAAATAAGTGAGAGGGGAGGGCTTTAAAAAGGGGAGGGGTTTAAGGCACCGGAGTGGGGGAGGGGCGACCCCACGGGGCTCAGGTGTGGGCACGAGGGTGGGGGGGAAGGGGGAGGGAGGGGGGTGGGGAGGCTCATTTCCCCCAAAATTCGAAATTCCCCTGAATTTCCACCCAAAATTCCCCCAAATTCCCCCCAATTTTTTCCCAAAATTTCCACCCCAAATTCCCCTTTTTCCAAATTTTCCACCCAAAATTCCCCATTTTTTCCCAAATTTCCACCCAAATTTCCACTCCAAAATACCCCAGAAATTCTGGGTTTTTCTTTCCTCAAATTTTCCACCCCAAAATCCCCCATTTTTCCCCCAAATTCCCCATTTTTTTCCCAAATTTTCCACCCAAAATTCTCCAAAAATTCTGGGTTTTTTTCCCCCAAATTCCCACCCAAAATTCCCCCAATTTCTGTTCTATTTTTTCCCCAAATTTTCCACCCAAATTTCCCCCTTTTCTTCCAAATTTTCCCCCCAAATTCCCACTCAAAATTCCCTCATTTTGTCCCCCAATTTTCCCCCAAATCCCCATTTACCTCAAAATTCTCCCCAAAATCCCCCAAATTCTCACCCAAATTTCCCTCATTTTGCTCCCCAAAATCCCCTCAAATTTCCCTCATTTTCCCCCTAAAATCCCCAATTTCTCCCCCATTTTCCCCTAAAATCCCCCAAAATCCCTCCGAATTTCCCACTCAAATTTCCCCATTTTACCCCTAAACACCCCAATTTTTCCCCATTTTTCCCCCAAAATCCCCCATTTTTCCCTCAAATTCCCCCCTAAAAATCCCTCAAATTTCCCCCCCATTTTTCCCTCAAATCCCCCAAATTTCCCCAAATTCCAACCCCAAATTTCCCCATTTTTCCCTAAAAATCCCCCAAATTTCCCTCAAATCCCCCCAAATCCCCACCCAAATTTCCCTCATTTTCCCCTAAAAATCCCCCCATTTTTCCCTCAAATTCCCACCCCAAAATCCCCCTAAATTTCCCTCATTTTCCCCCTAAAAATCCCCCCAAATTCCCTCGCTTTTTCCCCCCAAAATCCCCCCCAAATTTCCCTCAACTTCCCAAACTCCCCCATTTTTCCCTCAAATCTCCTCCCAACTCCCCCAAATTCCCACTCAAATTTCCCCAAAATCCCCCAAATTTCCCTCATTTTTCCCCAAATTCCCACCCAAATCCCCCCCATTTTTCCTCAAATCCCCCCAAAATCTCCCTCAAATTTCCCATTTTCCTCCCCCAAAATTCCCCCAAATTTCCCCATTTTTCCTCAATTCCCTAAAATCTCCCCCAAATTCCCACCTAAATTTTCCTCATTTTGCTCCCCAAAAATCCCCCATTTTTCCCTCAAATCCCCGCCAAAATCCCCCAATTTCCCACTCAAATCTTCTCCTCATTTTTACCTAAAAATCCCCCAAATTTCCCCCATTTTTCCCCCAAAACCCCCCAAATTTCCCCCATTTTTCTCCCCAAAATCCCCCAAATTCCCACCCAAATTTCCCTCATTTTCCCCCAAAAAATCCCCCCAAAATCCCCCAAATCCTCCCAAATCCCCAAAACTCCCCCATTCCCCCACAATTGGGGGTGGGTGGGGAGGGCATTCCCAGGTGGGCGTGGCCTCTTCCTTTAAGGAGTGTGTGGGCGTGGCTTCTCCAGGAGTGTGGGCGTGGCTTCTTTGGGTGGGGAGGGGCCCTTTGCCCCCTCGCTCAGGTGGGGAGGGGCGATTGAGGGGCTGCCCGGGGTGGGGAGGGCGGCTCCTCCTCCTGCCCCTCCCCTCCTCGTGCCCCTCCTCTCCTGCCCCCTCCCCGGGTAGAGGACGAGGCAAAGGCTGCACGAGCGCGTGGCGGAACCCTGCGGGGGGAGGGGCGAGAGAGGGGAGGGGAGGGTCAGGCTCGCCGACCCCTCCCCCTTCCCCCCAAAAAAAAAAAATCCCCTTTTTTCCCCTTTTTTTCCCCATTTTTTGCTCATTTTTTGCCCATTTTTTACTCATTTTTTCCTCATTTTTTCCTATTTTTATCCTAATTTTTATCCCATTTTTTCCTCAGTTTTTACTCATTTTTTCCTATTTTTATCCCAATTTTTATTCATTTTTTGCCCATTTTTTACTCATTTTTTCCTATTTTTGTCCCAATTTTTACCCATTTTTTCCTCATGTTTTACTCATTTTTTCCTCATTTTTTGCCCTTTTTTTACTCATTTTTCGCTCACTTTTAACCTTTTTTTTGCAATTTTTATCTCAATTTTTATCCCATCTTTCACTCAAAAAATCGCAAAAAATTCCCCCAAAATTCCCTAAAATTCCTGAGACCCCCAAATCCAATTTTCACCCCAAAAACCCTCCTGAACCCCTCTAAAAAATTGTAAAAAAAATTGTAAAAAAATCGTTAAAAAAATCACCAAAAAAATCACAAAAATTTCCCAACAATTCCAAAAAAAAAATTCCCAAAAAATTCCCTAAAATTCCCAACATCCCCAAATCCCTTTTATAACCCCCAAATTCCCAAATCCCCTTAAAAAAAATCACAAAAAAATTCTAAAAAAACTGTAAAAAATCACAAAAAAATTGCTAAAAATTCCCCCAAAATTCCCGAAAATTCCCAAAAATTTCCTAAAATTCCCAACACCCCCAAATCCCTTTTATAACCCCAAACCCCCCACAAAACTCCTTTTAAAAAATCGTTAAAAAATCATTAAAAAATCGTAAAAAAAATCACAAAAAAATTGCCCAAAAATTCCCCCAAAATTCCAAAAAAATTCCCAAAAAATTCCCAAAAAATTCCCGAAAAAATCCTTAAAATTCCCAATACCCCCAAATCCAATTTTCACCCCCAAAACCCCCCAGAACCCCTTAAAAAAATCGTAAAAAAATCATTAAAAAAATAGTAAAAAATTGCAAAAATCACAAAAAAATCCCCAAATTTCCTGAAAAATTCCCCCAAAAAATTCCCAAAAAATTCCCTAAGATTCCTGAGACCCCCAAATCCAATTTTCACCCCCAAAACCCCATAAAAAAATTGTTAAAAAATCATAAGAAAAATCATAAAAAATCACAAAAAAGTCGCTAAAAATTCCAAAAAAATCATAAAAATTTCCCAAAAAATTCCCAAAATTTTCCCAAATTTTCCTCACCTACGAATCTGCGGATCTGGGGGGGTTTGGAGCCCCCTTCCCTGACGAGGAGCAGGTAGAGGGGGGCCCCCGTGGCCGTGACCCCCAAACCCACCCCGCACAAAAGACCCCCAAAAAATCCCCCCAAAAATCCCTAAAAATTCCCGAAAAATTCTCAAAAAAATCCCTAAAATTCCCAATGTGCCTCAAATCCAATTTAGACCCCCAAAACCTCCTGAAACCGCCCCAAAAAAATAGTTTAAAAAAATTTATAAAATCAATTAAAAAATTGTAAAAAATCACAAAAAATCGCAAAAAATTCCCAAAATTTCTCGAAAAATTCCCAAAAAATTCCCCAAAAATTTCCTAAAATTACCGACATCCCAAAATCCCTTCTATAACCCCCAAAACTGCCCCAAACCCCTTAAAAAAAATCATAAAAGAAATCACAAAAAAATCCTAAAAAATCATAAAAAATCGCAAAAAATCACTAAAAATTCCCGAAAAATTCCCGAAAAATTCCCAAAAAAATTCCCTAAAAAATCCCTAAAATTCCCAACACCCCCAAATCCAATTTTCACCCCCAAAACCCCATAAAAAAATTGTAAAAAAATCGTAAAAAAATTGTAAAAAATCACTAAAAATTCCCGAAAAATTCCCGAAAAATTCTGGAAAAATTCCCAAAAATTCCCAATTCCTCACCTACGAATCTTCGGATCTGGGGGGGTTTGGAGCCCCCTTCCCTGACGAGGAGCAGGTAGAGGGGGGCCCCCGTGGCCGTGACCCCCAAACCCACCCCGCACACGACGGGCTCGGCCCACACCGAGAACACCAGCAGGGCCCCCCAGAAGAGCAGGTAGAACACCGGGAAAAACACGGAAACCTGAAGGAAAAACCGGGAAATTTGGGAATTGGGGGGGGAAAATGGGGAAAAATGGTGAAAAAACGGTGAAAATCGGGTGAAATTTGGGGGGAAAATGAGGGAAAATGGGGAATTTAAGGGGGATTTAAGGGGGATTTGAGGGGGATTTGGGGGGTAAAAAAGGGGGGGAGGAAGGACAGGGGGGAAAAAATGTGGGAAAAGGGGGAAAATTGGGGGGAAAATGTGAAAAAATGGTGAAAATTGGGAGAAAATCGGGTGAAATTTGGGGGAAAAATGAGGGAAAATGGGGAAATTTAAGGGGGGTTGGGGGGGAAAAAGAGGGGAAGGAGGGACAAGAATGGGGTGGAAAATGGGGGAAATGGGGAAAAAAAGGGGGAAAAGGGGGAAATTTGGGAATTTTGGGGGATTTGGGGTGAAAAAATGGTGAAAATTGGGAGAAATTTGGGGGGAAAATGAGGGAAAATGGGGAATTTAAGGGGGATTTGAGGGGGATTTGGGGGGTAAAAAAGGGGGGGAAGAGGAAGGACGGGGGGAAAAAATGTGGGAAAAGGGGGAAAATTGGGAATTTAGGGGGGGAAAATGGGAAAAAATGGTGAAAATTTGGAGAAATTTGGGTTAAATTTGGGGAAAAATGAAGGAAAATGGAGAATTTTGGGGGGATTTAAGGGGGGAAAAGGAGGGAGGGAGAGGCAAGAATGGGGTGGAAAATGGGGAAAAACGGGGAAAAAGGTGGGAAAGGGGGAAATTTGGGAATTGGGGGGGAAAAATGGGGAAAAATGGTGAAAATTGGGAGAAAATCGGGTGAAATTTGGGGAAAAATGAAGGAAAATGGGGAAAAAAGGGGGAATTTTGAAGGGATTTAAGGGGGATTTGAGGGGATTTGGGAGGTAAAAAGGGGGAAGGAATGACAGGGGAAAAATGTGGGAAAAGGGGAAAATTTGGGAATTTTGGGGGATTTGGGGTGAAAAAATGTTGAAAATTGGACAAAATTTAAGGGAAAAATGAGGGAAAATGGGGAAATTTGGGGGTAAATGGGGCAGATTGAGGGAGAAAGGGGGCGGGGCTTGGGGACAAAGGGGGCGGGGCTTAAGGGAGAAAGGGGCGTGGTTTAGGCAGGAAGTGGGCGTGGTTTGAGGGCAGGAAGTGGGCATGGTTTAAACAGGAATTGGGTGTGGTTTAATAAGGAAGTGGGCGTGGTTTTGGAGCAGGAAGTGGGAATGGTTTGAGGCAGGAAGTGGGCGTGGTTTGGGCAGGAAGTGGCCGATGTTTGGGTTTGAAAGGGGCGTGGTTTAAGGCAGGAAGTGGGCGTGGTCTGGGCAGGAAGTGGTTGTGGTATTGAGACAGGAAGTGGTCATGGTCTGGATAGGAAGTAGACCTGGTCTGGGCAGGAAGTGGGTGTGGTTTGAGGGAGGAAGTGGGTGTGGTTTGAGGGAGGAAGTGGGTGTGGTTTGAGTAGGAAGTGGGTGTGGATTAAGGCAGGAAGTGGGCGTGGTTTTGGTTATGAAGTGGGCGTGGTTTGGGCAGGAAGGGGCGTGGTTTGGGAGAGGAAGCGGGTGTGGTTTGGGCAGGAAGTGGGTGTGGATTAAGGCAGGAAGTGGGCTTGGTTGAGACAGGAAGTGGGCGTGGTTTGGGCAGGAAGTGGGTGTGGTTTGGGGAGGAAGTGGACGTGGTTTGGGGTTGAAAGGGGCGTGGTTTGGGCAGGAAGTGGGTGTGGTTTGGGGCTGAAAGGGGTGTGGTTTGGGGCAGGAAGTGGACAATGTTTGAGGGAGGAAGTGGGCATGGTTTGGGGCAGGAAGTGGGTGTGGTTTGGACAGGAAGTGGGCGTGGTTTGGACAGGAAGCGGGCGTGGTTTGAGACAGGAAGTGGGTGTGGTTTGGTTAGGAAGTGGTGTGGTTTGAGGCAGGAAGTGGGTGTGGTCTGGACAGGAAGTGGGCATGGTTTGAGGGAAGAAGGGGCGTGGTTTCAGACAGGAAGTGGGCGTGGATTGAGACAGGAAGTGGGTGTGGTTTGGGCAGGAAGTGGTTGTGGTATTGAGACAGGAAGTGGTCATGGTCTGGATAGGAAGTAGACCTGGTCTGGACAGGAAGTGGGTGTGGTTTGAGGGAGGAAGTGGGTGTGGTTTGAGGGAGGAAGTGGGCGTGGTTTGGGCGGGAAGGGGTGTCGTTTGGGAGAGGAAGTGGGTGTGGTTTGGGCAGGAAGTGGGCGTGGTTTCAGACAGGAAGTGGGCGTGGGTTGGGGGTCAAAGTGCAAGGAATTTGGGGTAGAAAGTGGGCATGGTTTGGACAGGAAGTGGGCGTGGTTTGAACAGGAAGTGGGTGTGGTTTGGGGTTGAAAGGGATTTTGTTTTAGGAGAGGAAGTGGGTGTGGTGGGGGCAGGAAGTGGTCATGGTCTGGATAGGAAGTAGACCTGGTCTGGGCAGGAAGTGGGTGTGGTTTGAGGGAGGAAGTGGGTGTGGTTTGAGCAGGAAGTGGGTGTGGATTAAGGCAGGAAGTGGGCGTGGTTTTGGTTATGAAGTGGGTGTGGTTTGGGCAGGAAGTGGGTGTGGTTTGAGGAGGAAGTGGGCGTGGTGTGAGGTAGGAAGTGGGTGTGGCTTGCACAGGAAGTGGGTGAGGTTTGAGGCAGGAAGTGGGCGTGGTTTGGGTTATTAAGTGGGCATGGTTTGAGCAGAAAGGGGCGTGGTTTGGGAGAGGAAGTGGGTGTGGTTTGAGGAGGAAGTGGGTGTGGTTTGAGGCAGGAAGTGGGCGTGGCTTGGGCAGGAAGTGGGTGTGGTTTGGGCAGGAAGTGGGTAAAGTTTGGGCAGGAAGTGGGTGTGGTTTGAGGCAGGAAGTGGGTGTGGTTTGTGGCTGAAAGGGGTGTGGTTTAGACAGGAAGTGGGTGTGGTTTTGGAAGGATTGTGGTTTGGGCCCAAAAAGGGGGGTGACCTGAGGGAGAAAATGGGTGTGGTTTTGATGACAAAGTGGGCGTGGCTCGGTTACAAAGGGGCGTGGCTTCGAGGTCAAAGTGGGCGTGGCTTGATGGTGAAAGGGGCGTGGTTTGGTGGTAAAATGGGCGTGGTTTGGGCCCAAAAAGGGGTGTGGCCTAAGGGAGAAAAGGGGCGTGGTTTTGATGATAAAGTGGGCGTGGCTTGGTTAAAAGGGGCGTGGCTTCAAGACCAAAGTGGGTGGGGCTTAAAGGGGGAAAGGGGCGTGGTTTGGACCCAAAAAAGGGGCGTGGCTTCTGTGGTTTTATGGGTGTGGCCTAAGGGAGAAAAGGGGTGTGGTTTTGTTAAAAGGGGCGTGGCTTCAAGACCAAAGTGGGTGGGGCTTAAAGGGAAAAGGGGCGTGGTTTAGGGGCAAAGGGGGCGTGGTTTAGGGGCAAAGGGGGCGTGTCCCCACCTTGATGGGGCGGGGCAGGTGGGGCTCCCGGCGCCGCAGCACGAGGAGGGCGGCGACGGTGACGCCGTACCACACGTAATTAACGAAGCCCACGTAATTAATGAGGGTGTAGATGTCGCCCGTCACCAGCATCAGCAGCGTCGACACGCACTGATCCACGAGAAAAAAATTGACCCAAAATCGGGCTGATTCGGCCCGAAAATTTGGGTCAAAATCTGCCAGAATCGGCCAAAATTTGACTTGAATTTGAGTGGAATTTGAGGCAAAATTTGACACCAAATTTGCTCAATTTTCACTCAAATTTTCCCCAATTTCCCCTTGGTTCCACCCCCATTTTCCCTCATTTTTACCTGAGTTTCCCCTCAATTCTCCCAATTTTCCCTCAGTTTCTACTCAATTTTTGCTCAATTTTGCCAAAATTTGACTCGAATTTGAGTGGAATTTGAGGTAAAATTTGACCCCAAATTTGCTCAATTTCACCCAAATTTCCCCTCGGTTTTCCCCCCCCTCATTTTCCCTCATTTTTCCCCGAATTTCCCCCCAAATCCCCCAATTTTCCCTCAGTTTCTACTCAATTTTTGCTCAATTTTGCCAAAATTTGACTCGAATTTGAGGTGAATTTGAGGCAAAATTTGACCCCAAATTTGCTCAATTTTCACCCAAATTTCCCCAAATTTCCCCTTGGTTCTCCCCCCCCCTCCATTTTCCCTCATTTTTACCCGAGTTTCCCCCCAATTCTCCCAATTTTCCCTCAGTTTCCACTCAATTTTTGCTCAATTTTGCCAAAATTTGACTCAAATTTGAGGTGAATTTGAGGCAAAATTTGACACCAAATTTGCTCAATTTTCACCCAAATTTTCCCCAATTTCCCCTTGGTTTCCCCCATTTTCCCTCATTTTTACTGAAATTTCTCTCAAATCCCCCAATTTTCCCCTAATTTCCCCTCATTTTCCCCTGAATTTTCCCTCAATTCTCCCAATTTTCCCTCAATTCTCCCAATTTTCCCTCAATTCTCCCAATTTCCCCTCAATTCTCCCAATTTTCCCCCAATTTCCCCTCAATTTTTACTCAATTTTCACCCCAGTTTTCCCTCAGTTTCCCCTTATTTTTTGCTCAATTTTCACCCCAATTTTCCCCCAATTTCCCCTCATTTTTTGCTCAATTTTCACCCCAATTTTCCCCAAATTTCCCCCAAATTTCCCCAATTTTCCCCCAGTTTTCCCTCAATTTTTGCTCAATTTTCACCCCAATTTTCCCCCAATTTCCCCCCAAATCCCCCAATTTTCCCCCAGTTTCCCCTCAATTTTTACTCAATTTTCACCCCAATTTTCCCCCAATTTCCCCTCAAATCCCCCAATTTTCCCTCAATTTCCCCTCATTTTTTACTGTTTTGTCCCAATTTTCCCCTAATTTCCCCTCAATTTTTGCTCAATTTTCACCCCAATTTTCCCCCTATCTCCCTCCAATTCCCCCAATTTTCCCCCAATTTCCCCTCAATTTTTGCTCAATTTTCACCCCAATTTTCGCTCATTTTTCTCTCTTTTTTCCCCCCAAATTTTCCCCCCACTTTTTACTCCATTTTCTCTCAATTTTTACCCAAATCTCTCCCCGTTTTTGCTCATTTTCCCCAATTTTCCTCAAATTTTACTCAATTTTTACTCAATTTTCCCCCAAATTTCACCTAAATTTTGCCCAAATTTCTCCCCATTTTTGCTCATTTTTACCCAATTTTCCTCAAATTTTACTCAATTTTCACTCAATTTTCCCCCAAATTTCCCACACATTTCACCCAAATTTCTCCCCATTTTTGTTCAATTTTCACCCAAATTTTGCTCAATTTTCTCCCAATTTTTGCCCAATTTTCACCCAATTTTCACCCAATTTTCCCCGATTTTTGCCCAAATTTCACCCAAATTTCCCCAAATTTTTCCCCCAACCCCCAAATTTTCCCTTTTTTCCTCTTTTTCCCCCCAAAAGCTCACGGTGAGCAGGAGGGCGGGCATGGGGGTGTTCCTGTGCAGGTGGATCATGGCCAGCAGGGCAGGCAGGTGCCCCTCCTTGGCCCCGGCGTAGAAGAGCCTGAAAAATTCCACAACTTTTCCCCACAATTCCCAGAAAATCCCACCCAAAAAACACCTCCCTTTTTTGCCCCAAATTTCTCCCATTTTCCCCAATTTTTTCCCCAAATTTTTCTCCCATTTTACCCAGGTTTTTTCCATTTTTTCCTGATTTTTTTCCCATTTTTCCCCCCAATTTTTTCCCATTTTTTCCCAATTTTTTTCTGTTTTTTCCCATTTTTTCCCCAAATTTTTCTCCCATTTTTTCTCATTTTTTCCCTAATTTTTCTCCCATTTTTTCCCCAATTTTTTTCCATTTTTTCCTGATTTTTTCCCATTTTTTCCACCAATTTTCTCCCATTTTTCCCAATTTTTTTCCTTTTTTTCCTGAATATTTCCCGCTTTTCCCCCAATTTTTCTCCCATTTTTCCCAATTTTTTCCCCCAATTTTTCCCCCATTTTTACCCAATTTTTTCCCATTTTTTCTCCAATTTTCACCCTTTTTAACCCAATTTATTCCCCTTTTTCCCCAAATTTTTTTCCCATTTTTCCCCCAAATTTTCTCCCATTTTCCCCAATTTTTTCCCATTTTCCCCCATTTTTTTCCAACTTCCCCCAATTTTTTCCCATTTTTTCCCAATTTTTTCCCATTTTTTCCACCAATTTCTCTCTCATTTTTTCCAATTTTTCCCCATTTTCCCCCAAATTTTTCTCCCATTTTTCCCAATTTTCCCAGCGCCTCCCAGTATAAACCAGTAACCCCCAAACCACCTCCCAGTCCCTCCCAGTCCCTCCCAGTGACCCCCAAACCCCAAACCAGTCCCTCCCAGTGCCCCCAATCCCCTCCCAGTCCAAACCAGTAACTCCCAGTGACCCCCAGACCCCAAACCAGTAACTCCCAGTTTATTCCAATCCCCTCCCAGTCCCTCCCAGTGCCCCCAATCCCTCCCAGTCCCCTCCCAGTCCCTCCCAGTGCCCCCCAATCCCCTCCCAGTCCCTCCCAGTCCGTCCCAGTGCCCCCAGTTACCTGGAGCAGGTGAAGAGGGAGCCGTTGACGCCTCCGAAGGTGGACAGAGCCACGGCCAGCGGCATCACCCAGCCCAGGGACCCCAAAACCTTCTCCCCGAACGTCTGGGGGGGACAAAAACACCCCAAAAACTCTAAAAAACCCCAATCAGGGACCCCCAAAACCCCAAAATTCCAAAAGTTCCCCCAAATTCCCAAAATTCCCATTTTTTCCCCAAATTTTGACCAAAAATTTGGATTTTTGGACCCATTTTCCCCCCATTTTTCACCACGGATTTCTGCATTTTTTGCCCCAATTTTCCTGATTTTCCCCCCATTTTTTCCCAAATTTCCCTGATTTTCCCACCTTTTTTTCCCCAAATTTCCATGTTTTTGCCCCAATTTTCCTGATTTCCCCCCATTTTGCCCCAATTTTCCTGATTTCTTCGCATTTTTTCCCAAATTTTCCTGATTTTTCCCCATTTTTTCCCAAATTTCCACATTTTTGACCCAATTTTCCGGATTTTTACCAATTTTTCCCCTTTTCCCTGAATTTCCCCATTATTTACCCTATTTTACCCCAATTTTTCCCCAAATTTTCCCAAATTTTCCCCAAATTTCCCCATTCCTGTCACCCCAAGGACCCCAAAACCTCCTCCCCAAACGTCTGGGGGGGACAAAAAACCCCCCAAAAAACTCTAAAAAAACCCAATCAGGGACCCCCAAAACCCCCCAAAATCCCCCAAATTTGAAATTCCAAAAATTCCCATTTTTTCCCCCAAATTTCCACCAAAAATTTGGATTTTTTGCCCAATTTTCCCCCTTTTTTCACCCATTTTTTGACCTCTTTTCCCCATTTTTTCTCCATTTTCCCCCACTTTTCCCAGATTTTTTCAATTTTTTCAATTTTTGTCCCCAATTTTCCCGATTTTTGCCCAATTTTCCAGCGTTTCCCCCAAATTTCCTCATTTTTGACCAATTTTCCCCCTTTTTTATCCCAAGGTTTTTCCTTTTTTCCCAATTTTCCCAATTTTCCTTATTTTTGCCCAAATTTTCCCGAATTTTCCCAAATTTCCCCATTTTTACCCAAGTTTTCCTGATTTCCCCCATTTTTTCCCAAATTTCCCCATTTTACTCAAATTTTCCTGATTTTTCCCCCAATTTTTCCCATTTTTGCCCCAATTTTCCTGATTTTCCCCCAATTTTTCCCAATTTTTGCCCAATTTTTCAATTTTTGCCAAATTTCCCCATTTCCCCCAAATTTTTCCAAATTTTCCCCGATTTTTGCCCAATTTTTTTCCAATTTTCCCCCAAACATTTTTAGACTTTTCCCAAATTTCCTGATTTTTCCCCCCAATTTTTCCCAATTTTGGCCCAATTGTCCCAATTTTTCCCCAATTTCCCCCCAAATTTCCCAATTTCTGCCCAATTTTTGGAATTTTCACCCAATTTTTCCATTTCCCCAATTTCCCTTTTTTTGCCCAATTTTTGTCCCAAATTTTGCCCAAATTTTCCTCAAATTCCCCAAATCCCCCCAAATTTTCCCAAATTTACCCCAAATCCCACCTGAATTCAACTCAAATTCCCCCAAATTATCCCAAATTCCACCCGAATTCCACCTAAAATTCCACCCAAAATCCCCCAAAATTTCACCAAAATTCGCCCAAATTCCGCCCAAATTTCACCAAAATTTCGATTTTTTGCCCAAAATCGGCATTTTTTGCCCCAAAATCCTCACCACGGCCACGGCCTGGGACTGCAGCAGCTCGTGGGGATCTCCTGACCCCCCAAATCCCCCCAAAATTCCCCGCCAAAATTCCAAAATTTCAACAAAATTCACTCAAATTTCGCCCAAATTTCACCAAAATTTCAATTTTTTGCCCAAAATCGGTTTTTTTTACCCCAAAATCCTCACCATGACCACAGCTTGTGACTGCAGCTGCACGGGGGGTTCTCCTGAACCCCCAAATCCCCCCAAAAATCCCCCCCAAAATTTCCCCAAATTTTACCCGATTTTCACCCAAATTTCACCCGAATTTCACCAAAATTTCTATTTTTTTCCCAAAATCGGTGTTTTTTGCCCCAAAATCCTCCCCACGACCACAGCTTGTGACTGCAGCAACTCGTGGGGACTCCTGACCCCCCAAATCCACCCAAAATCCCCCCAAATCCCCCCAAAATTTCACCAAAATTCGCCCAAATTTCGCCCGAATTTCACCAAAATTTCAAATTTTTGCCCAAAATCGGCGTTTTTTGCCCCAAAAATCCTCACCACGGCCACGGCCTGGGACTACAGCAGCTCAGGGGAACTCCTGACCCCCCAAATCCCCCCAAAATCCCCCCAAATTTCACCTGATTTTCACCCAAATTCCCCCCAAATTTCACCAAAATTTCAATTTTTTGCCCAAAATCGGCGTTTTTTGCCCCAAAATCCTCACCACAGCCACGGCCTGGGACTGCAGCAGCTCGTGGGGACTCCTGACCCCCCAAATCCCTCCAAAATCCCCCAAATCCCCCCAAAATTTCACCAAAATTCGCCCAAATTTCGCCCGAATTTCACCAAAATTTCGATTTTTGCCCAAAATCGGCGTTTTTTGCCCCAAAATCCTCACCACAGCCACGGCCTGGGACTGCAGCAGCTCGTGGGAACTCCTGACCCCCCAAATCCCCCCAAAAATCCCCCCAAAATTTCACCAAAATTCGCCCAAATTTCACCCGAATTTCTTCAAAATTTCGATTTTTTGCCCAAAATCGGCGTTTTTTGCCCCAAAATCCTCACCACGGCCACGGCCTGGGACTGCAGCAGCTCGTGGGGACTCATGGCCGCCAGGTAGGCCACGTTGGCCGCCACGTAGAGGAAGGTGACGAGCGGGATGGAGATGCCGATGGCTCGGGGGAGGTTCCTGGGAGGGGAAAAAAAGACCCAAAATCGCCTCAAATTCACCCAAAAATGAGACCAAAATGAGGCCAAAATGAGGTCAAAATGAGCCTGAAACGAGGGGAAAAAATGAGGTTAAACTGTTCAGAAATGACCCAAAATGAGCCCAAAAAATGAGATTAAAGAGATTTTTTTCTAATTTTTCCCTGAATTTTTTCTGATTCTTTTCCCATTTTTTCCTGGTTTTTTTCTGATTTTTTTCCCATTTTTTTCCCCATTTTTTCCTGAATTTCCCCCCATTTCCCCCCATTTTTCCCCGAATTTTTTCCTGATTTTTCCCCATTTTTTCCTGATTTTTTTCCGATTTTTTCCCGATTTTTTCTGGTTTTTTTTCCGTTTTTTTCCTGATTTTTCCCCATTTTTTCCCCATTTTACCCGAATTTTTTCCCCATTTTTCCCATTTTCCCCCCCATTTTTTCCCCATTTTTTCCCTGATTTTTTCCCCATTTTTCCCCATTTTTTCCCCATTTCCCCCCCTATTTTCCCCTTATTTTTCCCCATTTTTTCTTCTTTTTTTCCCCATTTTTCCCCGAATTTTTTTTGATTTTTTCCTGATTTTCCCCCCATTTTTCCCAATTTTTTCCTGATTTTTTTTCCCCCATTTTTTCTTCATTTTTTCTGATTTTTTCCTGATTTTTTCCTGATTTTTTCCCAATTTTTCCCCATTTTCCCCCATTTTTTCCCCGATTTTTTCCCAATTTTTCCCTGATTTTTTCCCCATTTTTTCCCCAATTTTTCCCCCATTTTTCCCCATTTTTCCCAATTTTTCCCCATTTTTTCCCCGATTTTTTTTAATTTTTTCCCATTTTTTGGGGTTTTTTTTGTGTTTTTTCCACCTGTCGGGGTTGACGAGCTCCTCGGTGACGTAGTTGAGGAAGTTCCACCCCCCGTAGGCGAAGGATCCCTGCAGGCAGGCCAAGAACAGCGACCCCACGCTGGGGGACGACCAGAACTGGAAAGCTCCCGACGGGCTCAGCCACCGATTTTCGCCTGCAAAAAGGGAAAAAAAATCAGGAATTTTGGGGAATTTTTTCCCTTTTTTTTCAGATTTTTTTTAGATTTTTTCAGATTTTTTTCCCTTTTTTTTCAGATTTTTTTTCAGATTTTTTCTCATTTTTTGGCGATTTTTTCTGATTTTTTTTGCATTTTTTGATGATTTTTCCTGATTTTTTCATATATTTTTCAGATATTTTTCAGATTTTTTTCTCATTTTTTTCCCTTTTTTTTCAGATTTTTTCCGCATTTTTTTCTCATTTTTTGGTGATTTTTTTCTGATTTTTTTCTCATTTTTCCCCTTTTTTTCAGATTTTTTTCAGATTTTTTCTCGATTTTTTTCTCAATTTTTCCCCTTTTTTTTCGGATTTTTTTCCCATTTTTTCCCCATTTTTTTGTGATTTTTTCTGATTTTTTTCGCATTTTTTGGTGATTTTTTTCTGATTTTTTCGGCATTTTTTCTTATTTTTTTTGTGGGTTTTTTTCTGATTTTTTTTTGCTTTTTTTCTCATTTTTTGGTGTTTTTTTTCTGACTTTTTCCGCATTTTTTTTTAATTTTTGGGTGATTTTTTTTTTTCTGCATTTTTTCCTCATTTTTTGGTGATTTTTTTTTCTGGTTTTTTTTCCTCATTCTTTTGTGAATTTTTTTCTCCTTTTTTCCTCATTTTTTCCTCATTTTTTGGTGATTTTTTTCAGATTTTTTTCAGATTTTTTTTCGCATTTTTTCTCATTTTTTTTCTGATTTTTTTCTCATTTTTTGGTGATTTTTTCGGATTTTTTTCTGATTTTTTTTATTTTTTCTGATTTTTTCTCATTTTTTTTCTGATTTTTTCCTCATTTTTCTCTCATTTTTTGGTTATTTTTTCTGATTTTTTTCTCTTTTTTTCCCTCATTTTTTGGTGATTTTTTCCCATTTTAATCTCATTTTAACCCCATTTTATCCCCATTTTATCCCCATTTTACCCCCATTTTACCCCCATTTCCCACCCTTTTTCCCGATTTTCCCCCCGTTTTTTTCCCCGCTTCCCCCCAAACCCCTTTAATTCATTTTTTCTCTCCTCTTTTTCCCCAAAATCCTGGTTTTTTTCCCCAAAACCCGACCGTGTGCGATGAGGGCGGCGCCGGTGCCGATGACGAGCGCCAGGGCCAGGAGCTTCCCCGCCGTGAACACGTCCTGCACACGCGTGGCCCAGCGCACGCTGCGGCAGTTCACCCACGTCAGCAGCACTGAAAAATGGGAAAAATGGGAAAAATGGGAAAAATAAAAAAAAAATGGGAAAAAACGGTGAAAAAATAAAAAAAAATGGAAAAAAACGGTGAAAAAAATGAAAAAAAAGGGGGAAATGAAGGGCAAAGGGGGGGTAAAAGGGACACTGGGGCAGTTCAGCCACGTCAGCAGCACTGAAATGGGGGGAAAAATGGAAAAAATGGGAAAAATGGTGAAAAAATGGGGGAAAACGGGGAAAAAATAAAAAAAAAATGGAAAAAAACGCAAAAAAAACGGTGAAAAAATGAAAAAAAACGGTTAAAAAATGGGGGCAAAGGGGCAGTTCACCCACGTCAGCAGCACTGGAATGGGGGGAAAAACCGGGAAATTGGGAAAATTAAAAAAAAAAATGGGGAAAAACGGTGAAAAAATAAAAAAAAAATGGAAAAAACCGCAAAAAAAACGGTGAAAAAATGACGAAAAACGGTGAAAAAATGGGGAAAAACGGGAGGAAAATGGGGGAGAATGTGGGAAGAAAAGGAGAAAAAATGGGGAGAAAATGGGAAAAAATGGGAAAAAAATGGGGAAAAATGGGAAAAAATGGGAAAAAATGGGGGAAAATGGGAAAAACAGGGAAAAATGGGGAAAAAAAGGGGGAAATGAAGGGTAAAGGGGGGTAAAAGGGACACTGGGGTAGTTCAGCCACGTCAGCAGCACTGGAGTGGGGGGAAAAATGGAAAAAATGGGAAAAATGAAAAAAAAATGGAAAAAAACGGTGAAAAAATAAAAAAAAATGGAAAAAACCGCAAAAAAAACGGTGAAAAAATGACAAAAAACGGTGAAAAAATGGGGAAAATGAAGGGCAAAGGGGGGGTAAAAGGGACACTGCGGCAGTTCACCCACGTCAGCAGCACTGAAATGGGGAGAAAAAGGGAAAAATGGTGAAAAAATGGGGAAAAACGGGGAAAAAATAAAAAAAAAATGGAAAAACCCGCAAAAAAAACGGTGAAAAAATGACCAAAAACGGGGAAAAAATGGGGAAAAAACGGGGGAAAAATGGGGAAAATGAAGGAAAAAGGGGGAGAAAAGGGACAGTTCACCCACGTCAGCAGCACTGAAATGGGGAGAGAAACATAGAAATTGGGAAAAAATGACGAAAAACGGTGAAAAAATAAAAAAAAATGGAAAAAAACGGTGAAAAAATGGGGAAAAACGGGGGGAAAATGGGGAAAACGCAAAAAAATGGGAGAAAACGGGATAAAAGGGGGAAAAGGGGGGAAAAAGGGGGGAAAAGAGGAGAATGTGGGAAGAAAAAGAGAAAAAATGGGGAGAAAATGGGAAAAAATGCAAAAAAAATGGGGAAAAATGGGAAAAAATGGGAAAAAATGGGGAAAAAATGCAAAAAAAATGGAAAAAAACAGGGGAAAAAATGGGAAAAAAGGGGGAAAATGAAGGGAAAAAAGGGGGAAATGAAGGGCAAAGGGGCAGTTCAGCCACGTCAGCAGCACTGGAATGGGGAGAAAAACACGGAAATTGGGAAAAATGAAAAAAAATGGTGAAAAAATGAAAAAAAACGCAAAAAAAACGGGAAAAAACGGTGAAAAAATGACAAAAAACGGGGAAAAAATGGGGAAAATCGGGGGAAAATGAAGGGAAAAAAGGGGGAAATGAAGGGCAAAGGGGCAGTTCACCCACGTCAGCAGCACTGCAAAATGGGGGGAAAAATGGAAAAAATGGGAAAAATGGTGAAAAAATAAAAAAAAATGAGGAAAAACGGTGAAAAAATGACGAAAAATGGGGGAAAAATGGGGGAAAAATGGGGGAAAAATGGGGAAAAATGGGGAGAATGTGGGAAGAAAAGGAGAAAAATGGGAGAAAATGGGGAAAAATGGGAAAAAATGGGAAAAATAAAAAAAAATGGAAAAAAACGGTGAAAAAATGAAAAAAAAGGGGGGAAAATGGGGAAAATGAAGGAAAAAGGGGAAGAAAAGGGACACTAGGGCAGTTCACCCACGTCAGCAGCACTGGAATGGGGGGAAAAACACAGAAATTGGGAAAAAATGACGAAAAACGGTGAAAAAATAAAAAAAAAACGGAAAAAAACGGTGAAAAAATGACCAAAAACGGGGAAAAAACGGGGATAAGAGGGGGAAATGAAGGGCAAAGGGGCAGTTCAGCCACGTCAGCAGCACTGGAAATGGGGGGAAAAATGGAAAAAATGGGAAAAATAAAAAAAAAATGGGGAAAAATGGGGAAAAAATAAAAAAAAATGGAAAAAAACGGTGAAAAAATGGGGGAAAAACGGTGAAAAAATGGGGAAAAATGGGGGAAAAATGGGGGAAAAATGTGGGAAAAAGAGGAGAATGTGAGAAGGAAAGGAGGAAAAATGGGGAGAAAATGGGGAAAAAATGGGGAAAAACGGTGAAAAAATGACCAAAAACAGGGAAAAAATGACAAAAACCGGGGGAAAAACGGGGAAAAACGGGGGAAATGAAGGGCAAAGGGGCAGTTCACCCACGTCAGCAGCACTGGAATGGGGGGAAAAATGAAAAAAATGGGAAAAATGAAAAAAAAAAGGGGAAAAACGGTGAAAAAATGACAAACGGGGAAAAAACGGGGAAAAACGGGGAAAAAATGGGGAAAAAACGGTGAAAAAATGGGGAAAATGGGGGATAAAGGGGGGGAAAGGGGGGTAAAAGGGACACTGGGGTAGTTCAGCCACGTCAGCAGCACTGAAATGGGGGGAAAAACCGGGAAATTGGGAAAAATAAAAAAAAAATGGGGAAAAAATTACGAAAAACGCAAAAAAAACGGGAAAAACGGTGAAAAAATGACCAAAAACAGGGAAAAAATGACAAAAACCGGGAAAGACGGGAAGAACGGGGAAATGAAGGGACAAAGGGCAGATTCACCAACGTCAGCAACACTGAAATGGGAGAAAAAGGGAAAAAATGGGAAAAATGGTGAAAAAATTAAAAAAAAATGAGGAAAAACGGTGAAAAAATGAGGAAAAACGGTGAAAAAATGGGGAAAAACGCAAAAAAAAATAGGAAAAAAGAGGGGTAAAAGGGACACTGGGGCAGTTCAGCCACGTCAGCAGCACTGAAAAATGGGAAAAAGGGAAAAAATGGGAAAATTAAAAAAAAAATGGGGAAAAACGGTGAAAAAATAAAAAAAAAATGGAAAAAAACGGTGAAAAAATAAAAAAAAAAAATGGGGGAAAACGTGGAAAAATATGGGGAAAAACGGGGAAAAACGGGGGAAATGAAGGGCAAAGGGGCAGTTCACCCACGTCAGCAGCACTGAAATGGGGAGAAAAACCAGGAAATTGGGAAAATTAAAAAAAAAATGGGGAAAAACGGTGAAAAAATAAAAAAAAAATGGAAAAAACCGGTGAAAAAATGACAAAAAACGGGGAAAAAATGGGGAAAAAGCGGGGGATAAAGGGGAAAAAATGGGAAAAATGGGAGAATGTGGGAAGGAAAGGAGGAAAAATGGGGAGAAAATGGGAAAAAATGCAAAAAATTGGGGAAAAATGGGAAAAATAAAAATGGAAAAAAATGGTGAAAAAATGAGGAAAAATGGGAAAAATGGGAAAAATGGGGAAAATGGGGGAAAAATGGGGAAAATGAAGAGGCAAAGGGGAAAAAGGGACACTGAGGCAGTTCAGCCATGTCAGCAACACTGCAAATGGGAGAAAATGGAAAAATGGGAAAATGGAGAAAAAATGAGAAAAACGGTGAAAAATAGGAAAAAAATGGGGAAAAACGGGAAAAATGACGAAAAACGGTGAAAAATGACGAAAACGGTGAAAAAATGGGGAAAACGGGGGATAAGGGGAAAATGGGAATAAAAGGGGAAGAATGTGGAAAAAATGGGAAAGATGGGGAAAAATGAGGAAAAAAATGGGGAAAAATGGGAAAAAATGAAAAAAAGGGAAAAAATGGTGAAAAAAATGGGGAAAAATGGGGAAAAAAAGGGAAAAATGAGGGAAAATGGGGAAAAAATGGGGAAAAATGGGGAAAATGGGGGAAAAATGGGGAGAAAATGGGAAAAAATGGGAACAAATGGGAAAAACAGGTGAAAAATGGGGAAAAAATAAAAAATGGAAAAAAAGGTGAAAAATGAGGAAAAAATGGGAAAAATGGGGAAAAATGGGGAAAAATGGGGAAAAATGAGGGAAAAATGGGGAAAATGTGGGAAAAAAAGGAGAAAAATGGGAAAAATGGGGAAAAATGGGGAAAAAATGGGAAAAAATGGGGAAAAATGGGGGAAAAATGGGGGAAAATGGGAAAAATGAAGGGAAAAAGGGGGGGAAAATGGGGTAGAAATGGAGGAAAAAGGGGGGGAGAAGAGGAGAAAAAAATGGGGATAAAAGGGAGGGAAATGGAGAAAAAAATGGGGAAAAAGGGGGAAAAAATGGGGAAAAAAGGGAAAAAATGGGAAAAAATGCGAAAAATGGTGAAAAATGGGGAAAAAAGGGAAAATTTGGGATAAAGGGGGTAAAAATGGGAAAATTGGGGATAAAAGGGAGGGAAAATGGGGATGAAAGGGGGGATAAAAGGGAATTTTTGGGGAATTCCGGGAATTTTTGGGGTCATTTTTGGGTCCATTTTTGGGCAGTTTTGGCCCTTTTGGAGTGGAATTTTTTGGGAATTCCGGGGGTTTTTTTGGGAATTCCCGGAATTCTGGGATCAATCCCAGACACAAGAACCTCAGGTGAATCCCAGGTGAGATTTGGGTCCATTTTGGGTCCACTTTGGGTCCCTTTTGGGTCATTTTTGGGTCATTTTAAGTCCAATTTTGGTTGGTTTTGGCCATTTTTGGCCCTTTCATCATGGGATTTTTTGGGAATTCCCGGATTTTTTTGGGAATTCCCGGAATTCTGGGATCAATCCCAGACACAAGAACCTCAGGTGAATCCCAGGTGAGATTGGGGTCTGTTTTGGGTCCACTTTAGGTCATTTTTGGGTCATTTTAGGGCCAATTTTGGCCGTTTTTGGCCGTTTTTGACCCTTTCGTCATGGAATTTTTCGGGGAATTCCAGGGTTTTTTCGGGAACTCCTGGAATTTTGGGGTCAATCCTGGAAGTAGGAAACTCAGATGAGTCCCAGGTGAGATTGGGGTCAGTTTTGGGTCCATTTTGGGTCCGTTTTGAGTCATTTTAAGTCCAATTTTGGCCATTTTTGGTCGTTTTTGACCCTTTCTTCGCGGAATTTTTTGGGAATTCCCGGATTTTTTTGGGAATTCCCAGAATTCCGGGATCAATCCCAGACAAAAGAACCTCAGATGAGTCCCAGGTGAGATTTGGGTCCCTTTTGGGTCAGTTTTGGGTCCCTTTTGGGTCCATTTTGGGTCATTTTAAGTCCAATTTTGGCCGTTTTTGGCCCTTTCGTCGCGGGATTTTTTGGGAATTCCCGGATTTTTTTGGGAATTCCGGGAATTCTGGGATGACTCACGCAGGCAGGAACCTCAGGTGAGTCCCAGGTGAGTCCCAGTTAAAATTTGGGGCCGTTTTGGGTCCATTTTGGGTCATTTTAGGGCCCATTTTGAGGGGATTTTGATGCATTTCGTCATTTTGGAGCCAATCTTTTTGGGAATTCCGGGGTTTTTTCGGGAATTCCTGGAATTTTGGGGTCAATCCTGGAAGCAGGAAACTCAGATGAGTCCCAGGTGAGATTGGGGTCAGTTTTGGGTCCATTTTGGGTCCGTTTTGAGTCATTTTAAGTCCAATTTTGGCCGATTTTGGCCGTTTTTGACCCTTTCTTCACGGAATTTTTTGGGAATTCCCGGATTTTTTCTGGAATTCTGGGAATTCTGGGATGACTCACGCAGGCAGGAACCTCAGGTGAGTCCCAGGTGAGTTCCAGTTAAAATTTGGGGCTGTTTTGGGTCATTTTAGGGCCAATTTTGGGTCATTTTTGGCCGTTTTTGACCCTTTCGTCACGGAATTTTTTGGGAATTCCCGGATTTTTTCGGGAATTCCGGGAATTTTGGGACGACTCACGCAGGCAGGCAGCAGCCAGGAGCCTCTGGGCGGCCTCGGGGGTGTGGCAGGAGGGGTAGAGGGGCTGCAGGACGTAGTTGGCGAAGGTGAGGGCGATGACGGCCTGGTTGGTGGGGTAAATCACCAGCACCGAGATCCACAGGCGCAAAAACCTGCAAAAAAAACCAAATTTTGGGAAAATTCGGGTAAAAAATGGGATAATCAAAGTTTGGGGGAAATCAGGGGAAAAATGGGAGGGTTTGGGAGCAATTTGGGGCCAAAAATGGGGGATTTTAGGCGAAAAAAGGGTGGTTTTATTCTGAATTTTGGGCGATTTTTGGGTGGGTTTTGAGGCAAATTTTGGGGTAAAATTTGGGGTAAAAAATGAGCAATTTCGAGGTGAATTTTTGGGGCAATTTGGAGCTGGATTTGGGGTAAAAAACTTGGGATAAAAAAATTGAGGGGTTTTAGGTCAAAATTGGGGTAAAAAATGGGCGATTTTGGGTCGAATTTGGGGTGAAATCGGAGTCAAAAATGGAGGATTTTGAGCTGATTTTTGGGTCAAAAACGGGGGATTTTGGGGTGATTTTGAATTGATTTTGGAGCTAAAACTGGGCTGGATTTGAGGTAAAACTGGGATAAAAAAACTGAGGGGTTTTAGGTCAAAATGGGGGTAAAAAACGGCAATTTTTGAGTCGAATTTCGAGCAAAATCGGAGTCAAAAATGGGGGATTTTGAGCTGATTTTGGGGGGATTTTGGGTGGAATTTGAGGTAAAATGGGGGTTAAAAAATTAACAATTTCGAGGTGAATTCTTGGGGCAATTTTGAGCTGAATTTGGGGTGAAATTGGGGCCAAAAAATTGGGGTCATTTTGACACAAATTTGGGGCAAAAAAATGGGTGATTTTTGAGCTGTTTTTTGGGCCATTTTAACCCAAATTTTGGGGCGATTTTAACCCAAATTTTGGTCGATTTTTGGACCATTTTTAACTCAAATTTTGGCTGATTTTTGGGCCGTTTTAACCCGAATTTTGGGGTGATTTTGACCCGGTTTTGAGCCAATTTTTGGGGTGATTTTGACCTGAATTTTGGGTCATTTTTAACCCAACTTTTGGACCCATTTTAACCCAACTTTTGGTCCATTTTTGGGCCATTTTAACCCAAATTTTGGACCCATTTTAACCTCAATTTTTGGGCCGTTTTAACTCAAATTTTGGGGCGATTTTGAGCCGATTTTTTAGCCATAAAAAGGTCAATTTTGATGCAATTTTTGGGCCGGTTTTAACCCGAATTTTGACCCATTTTAACCCAAATTTTGACCCAATTTTTGGCCCATTTCAACCTCAATTTTGACCCCATTTTTGACCCATTTTAACTCAAATTTTGAGCCTTTTTTTGGGGTAAAAAAAGTGCCAATTTTGATGCAATTTTAGGGTCATTTTTAACCCGAACCTTGGCCCATTTTAACCTGAATTTTGACCCAATTTTTGACCCATTTTAACTCAAATTTTGAGCCGATTTTTGGGGTAAAAAAGGCCAATTTTAATGCAATTTTTGTGTTGTTTTTAACCCGAATTTTGACCCATTTTAACCCGACTTTTGGTCTATTTTTGGGCCGTTTTAACCCGAATTTTTGGGCGATTTTGAGTCGATTTTTGGGGTAAAAAAAGGCAAATTTTAATGCGATTTTTGGGTCGTTTTTAACCCAAATCTTGGCCCATTTTAACCCAAATTTTGGTCGATTTTTGGGCCATTTTAACTCAAATTTTGACCCAATTTTTGACCCATTTTAACTCAAATTTTGGGGCGATTTTGACCCGATTTTTTGGCCATAAAAAGGTCGATTTTTATGCGATTTTTGGGCCGTTTTTTGCCCAATTTTTGCCGATTTCTCCCCAAATTTTTTTGGGGGTAATACTCACCCCAGGAGCCCCCCGAAGCCGTGGCAGACGTAGGCGTAGTCCCCGCCCGCCCTGGGGATGGCCACGCCCAGCTCGGCGTAACAAAGGGGCCAAAAATGGGGCATTTCGGGTCAAATTTGGGGCAAAAAATGGGTCATTTTTGAGTCGTTTTTTGGGCCATTTTAACCCAAATTTTGGTCGATTTTTGGGGTAAAAAAGGGCCAATTTTAATGCGATTTTTGGGTCATTTTGAACCCAAATCTTGGCCCATTTTAACCCGAATTTTGGTCGATTTTTGGGCCGTTTTAACTCAAATTTTGAGCCGATTTTGACCTGATTTTTGGGGTAAAAAAAGGCCAATTTTTATGCGATTTTTGGGCTGGTTTTAACCCGAATTTTGCCCCATTTTAACCCGAATTTTTGGGCCATTTTAACTCAAATTTTGGGGCGATTTTGAGTCGATTCTGACCCACTCTTGAGCCAATTTTTGGGCCATAAAAAGGCCGATTTCGATCCGATTTTTTGCCGATTTCTCCCCAAATTTTGGGCAATTTTCCCCCAAATTTTTTGTTGGGGATACTCACCCCACGAGCCCCCCGAAGACGTGGCAGACGTAGGCGTAGTCGCCCCCCGCCCTGGGGATGGCCACGCCCAGCTCGGCGTAACAAAGGGGCCAAAAATGGGGCATTTTGGGACAAATTTGGGGCAAAATCGGGGTAAAAAATGGGGCATTTTGGGTCAAATTTGGGGCAAAAAATGGGTGATTTTTGAGCCGTTTTTTGGGCCATTTTAACCCAAATTTTGGGGCGGTTTTGACCCGATTTTTGGGCAATTTTTGTGTCGTTTTGAGCCAAATTTTGGGTGAAATCGGGAACAGGAAATGGTTGATTTTTGGGCTGTTTTAAATCAGATTTTGAGCCACTTTGACTTAAATTTTTGGGTGATTTTGATGCAATTTTGGGGGCGATTTTAACCCGAATTTTGGCCCATTTTAACTCGAATTTTGGGCCATTTTGAACCTGATTTTTGACCCATTTAAACCCGAATTTTGAGCCGATTTTGAGCCGAGTTTTGGGGTAAAAAAAGGCCGATTTTGATGCGATTTTTGGGCCATTTTAACCCGAATTTTGGGGCAATTTTGACCCGAATTTTGACCCAATTTTTGACCCATTTTAACTCGAATTTTGGGGCGATTTCGACCCGATTTTTTGACCATAAAAAGGTCAATTTTCACGCGATTTTCGGGCCGTTTTTTGCCCAATTTTTGCCGATTTCTCCCCAAATTTTTTTGGGGTAATACTCACCCCAGGAGCCCCCCGAAGACGTGGCAGACGTAGGCGTAGTCCCCGCCCGCCCTGGGGATGGCCACGCCCAGCTCGGCGTAACAAAGAGCCCCCACGGCCGTCACGGCCCCCGTCACCCCCCAGACCAGCAGGGACGGCCCCACCGCCCCCGAGTGCGCCAGGACACCCTTGGGGGCCACGAAGATCCCCGAGCCGATGATGTTCCCTGGGGGAAAAGGGAGAAAAAGAGGGAAAATTAGGGATTCTGGTGAAAAAATGGGGAAATTTGGGTGAAAAATGAAGAAAAAATGGATTTAAATTGGGATTTTTGGCGAAAAAATGGTGAAATTCGGATAAAAAATGGGGGAAAAATGGATTAAAATTGGGATTTTTGGTGAAAAAAATGGGATTTCTGGTGAAAAAACAGTGAAATTCGGGTGAAAAATGGGGGAAAAATGAAGAAAAAATGGGGGAAAAATGAAGAAAAAATGGATTTAAATTGGGATTTTGGGGGAAAAAAATGGGGTTTATGGTGAAAAAATGGTGAAATTTTGGGTGAAAATGGGGGAAAAATGAAGAAAAAATGCGATTTATGGGAATAAAAATGGGATTTATGGGAATAAAAATGGGATTTGTGGGAATAAAAATTAGATTTATGGAAAAAAATGGGATTTATGGGAATAAAAATGGGATTTCTGGCAATAAAAATGGGGGTTTGGGAGGGCCAGGACCCCCCTTGGGGGCCACGAAGATCCCCGAGCCGATGATGGGAACTGGGGGGAAAGAGGGAAAATTAGGGAAAATTAAAAATTACAGCCAAAAAAATGGGATTTCTGGCGAAAAAAATGGGATTTCTAGCAAAAAAAATGGGGTTTCTGGTGAAAAAATGGTGAAATTTGGGGGAAAAATGAGGGAAAAATGAAAAAAAAAGGATTTAAATTGGGATTTTTGGTGAAGAAATGATGAAATTTGGGTGAAAAATGAAGAAAAATGGGTTAAAATGAGGATTTCTGGTGAAAAAAGGGTGAAATTTTGGGTAAAAAATGGGATTTTGGACCAAAAAAATGGGATTTATGGAAAAAAATGGGATTTCTGGGGAAAAAACGGTGAAATTTGGGGGGAAAAAATGGATTTAAATGAGGATTTCTGGGGAAAAAAATGGGATTTGGGGTAAAAAAAGGGATTTAGGGTAAAAAAAATGGGATTTAGGGGGGGGTTGGGGTCAGTTTGGGGGGGGAAATTGGGATTTGGGTGAAAAAAATGGGATTTTGGGGCTCATTTTGGGGGGATTTGGGGTCAATTTTGGGGTCAATTTTGGGTCAATTTGGGGCATTTTGGGCCCATTTGGGGCCCATTTTGGGTCAATTTTGTTGGGTTTTTTTTAAATTTATTTTTTTAATTTTTTTTTATAAGGGGGGATTTTGGGGGGGGTCCCAAATTTTTGGGGTCAATTTTGGGTCTATTTTTGGGCCCATTTGGGGTCCATTTTTGGTCCATTTTGGGCCAATTTTGGGGTTTTTCTTTGGGATATTTTTAATTTTTTTTTTTTGGGGGGATTTTGGGGGAGGTCCCAAATTTTTTTGGGGGTCTCTTTTGGGAAAAATCCTCAAAAATTTTGGGTGGATTTTGGGTCGATTTGGGGTCGATTTTGGGTCAATTTTGGTTTTTTTTTTATTTTATTTTTTCGATTTTTTTTTTATTTTATTTTTTCGATTTTTTTTTTTTAGGGGGATTTTGGGGGGGTCCCAAATTTTTTGAGGGGGGGTCCCAAATTTTTGGGTCCATTTTGGGCCAATTTTGGGTCAATTTTGGGTCCATTTTGGGTCAATTTTGGGTCCATTTTGGGTCCATTTTGGGTCAATTTGGGGTCAATTTTGTTGTTTTTTTTATTATTTTATTTTATTTTATTAATTTTTTTTAGGGGGATTTTGGGGGGGGGTCCCAAATTTTTGAGGGGGGGTCCCAAATTTTTGGGGTCAATTTTGGGTCCATTTTGGGCCCATTTTGGGTCAATTTGGGGTCAATTTTGGCTCAATTTTGGTTTTTTTTATTATTTTATTTTATTTTTTATTTTTTATTTTTTAGGGGGATTTTGGGGGGGGTCGGTCCCAAATTTTTTGAGGGGAGATCCCAAATTTTTGAGTCGATTTTTGGGTCCATTTTGGGTCAATTTTGGGTCCAATTTGGGTCAATTTGGGGTCCATTTTGGGTCAATTTTGTTGGGTTTTTTTTATTTATTTTTAATTTTTTAATTTTTTTTTTTTTTAGGGGGGTTTTGAGGGGGTCCCAAATTTTTTTGAGGGGGGGTCCCAAATTTTTGGGGTCAATTTTGGTTCGATTTTGGGCCCATTTTTGGTCCATTTTAGGCCAATTTTGGGGTTTTTCTTTGGGATATTTTTAAATTTTTTTTTTTTTAGGGGGATTTTGGGGGGGGTCCCAAATTTTTTGGGGGGTCTCTTTTGGGAAAAATCCTCAAAAATTTTGGGTGGATTTTGGGTCGATTTGGGGTCGATTTTGGGTCAATTTGGGGTCAGTTTTGGGTCAATTTTGGCTCCATTTTGGGTTTGTTTGGTTTTTATTTATTTATTTATTTATTTATAATTTTTTTAATTTTTTTTTTAATTGGGGGATTTTTGGGCTCCCAAATTTTTTTAGGGGTGAATTCTCTGAACATCCCCCTCCTCAAAATAAATTTCTCTTGCATTTGGAGTGAATTTCAAGACCCAAAAAACCCCCAAAAATCCGATTTTTTTTCATTTCCAGACCCTCCCAACCCCCCAATTTTTTTAAGTGGTTTCCCCAAATTTTTTGGGGGGAAAATCCCCGAATTTTTTAACCCCAAAACCCCCCCAAAAATCCGATTTTTTTCCATTTCCAGACCCTCCCAACCCCCCAATTTTTTAAGTGGTGGCCCCAAATTTTTAGGGAAAATCCCTAAATTTTTAACCTAAAACCCCCAAAATCTGATTTTTTCCATTTCCAGACCCTCCCAACCCCCAATTTTTAAGTGGTTTCCCAAATTTTTAGGGAAAATCCCCAAATTCTTAACTCCCAAAACCCCCAAAATCTGATTTTTTTTCATTTCCAAACCCTCCCAACCCCCAATTTTTAGGGGTGGCCCCAAATTTTTTGGGAAATCCCAATTCTCAGCCCCAAAAATCCGATTTTTTGGGGAAATCCTGAATTTTTAACCCCCAAAACCCCCAAAAAATCCGATTTTTTTTTCATTTCCAAACCCTCCCAACCCCCAATTTTTTAAGGGGTGGCCCCAAATTTTTGGGGGGGAAATCCCCGAATTTTTTAACCCCCAAAACCCCCCAAAAATCCGATTTTTTTTCCATTTCCAGACCCTCCCAAACCCCCAATTTTTTTAAGGGGTGGCCTCAAATTTTTTGGGACGAATCCCCAAATTTTTAACCCCAAAAATCCGATTTTTTTCCATTTCCAGACCCTCCCAACCCCCATTTTTTTAAGGGGTGGCCCCAAATTTTTTTGGGGAAAATCCCCGAATTTTTCAGCCCCAAAAATCCGATTTTTTTGGGGGGAAATCCCCGAATTTTTTAACCCCAAAACCCCCCAAAAATCCGATTTTTTTCCATTTCCAAACCCTCCCAACCCCCCAATTTTTTAAGGGGTGGCCCCAAATTTTTTAGGGGAAAATCCCCGAATTTTTCAGCCCCAAAAATCCGATTTTTTTGGGGGGAAATCCCCGAATTTTTTAACCCAAAAACCCCCAAAAATCCAATTTTTTTTCCATTTCCAGACCCTCCCAACCCCCAATTTTTTTAAGTGATGGCCCCAAATTTTTTTTGACGAATCCCCCAAATTTTTTAACCCCCGAAAAGCCCCAAAAAGCCCCGAAATGGCCCCAAAAGAAGCGCTAAAAACTCACCCACGATGATGCCGCAGGCGCTGAGCAGCCCGATCTCCTTTTTCAGGCCCACCCCTCCCCACCCGGCCCTCCCCCTCCCCTTTTTAGATGCTCTTTTTGGGTGGGGGGTCTCGCCCTGTCCCTCCCCCCATTTGGCCCCCAAAAACTGATTTTTTTTTTTTTTTTCCCCTTTTTTCCGCCTGAAAATCAAAATAAAACGGAATAAAAAGGGTTAAAAAAGGGAAAAGGGTGGGGAGGGGCGGGGTTTTTTTGGGGTGAAAACGGCGAGAAAAAGAGCCCCCAAAAATGGGAATTTTAAGGGAAAAAGCCCCAAAGGAAGGATTTGACCCTCCCCAGGCCGGGGTGACCTCTCGGACTTTTGGGATCGGGAAGGGAAAAAAATGGGAAGGGGGAGGGGCGGGGAAAAAAAAGGGAGGGGGAGGGGAAAAAAAGGAGGGACAAAAATGGGTCGGGGGTCTCGAAATGGGGGAAAAGAAGTAAAAAAATGAATTAAAAGAGGTAAAAAATGAATTTAAAGAGGGCAAAAAGAGCCCAAAAAGGGATTTAAAAGAGACCAAAAGTGACTTAAAAGAGCCCAAAAATGGGTCTGGGGTCCCCAAAATGGGTCTGGGGTCTCAAATGGGGGAAAAGAGGAAGAAAAGGAGTTAAAAGAGGTAAAAAATGAATTTAAAAAGGTCAAAAAGGACTAAAAAAGAGTCCAAAAAGGAGGGAAATGACCCCAAAAAGGAGGGAAAAGACCCCAAAAATGGGTCTGGGGTCCCCAAATGGGTCTGGGGTCCCCAAAATGGGTCTGGGGTCCCAAAAATGACGTCAAAGAGGCCAAAAATGAATTAAAAGAGGCAAAAAGGAGTGAAAAAAGAGCCCAAAAAGAGCCAAAAAGGACTAAAATGACCCCAAAAAGGAGGGAAAAGAGCCCAAAAATGGGTCTGGGGTCCCAAAATGGGTCTGGGGTCCCAAAATGACTGAAATGACCCCAAAAATGACGTCAAAGAGCCCAAAAATGAATTAAAAGAGGCAAAAAATGACTAAAAAGAACCCAAAAAGGACTAAAAAAGAGTCCAAAAAGGACTGAAATGACCCCAAAAAGGAGGGAAAAGACCCCAAAAATGGGTCTGGGGTCCCAAAATGGGTCTGGGGTCCCAAAATGACTGAAATGACCCCAAAAAGGAGGGAAAAGACCCCAAAAATGGGTCTGGGGTCCCCAAAATGGGTCTGGGGTCCCAAAAATGACGTCAAAGAGGCCAAAAATGAATTAAAAGAGGCAAAAAGGAGTGAAAAAAGAGCCCAAAAAGAGCCAAAAAGGACTAAAATGACCCCAAAAAGGAGGGAAAAGAGCCCAAAAATGGGTCTGGGGTCCCCAAAATGGGTCTGGGGTCCCAAAATGGGTCTGGGGTCCCAAAAATGACGTCAAAGACCCCAAAAATGAATTAAAAGACCCCAAAAAGGGGCTTAAAAGACCCCAAAAAGACCCCAAAAAACGACTCAAAAGACCCCAAAAAGGACTAAAAAAGAGCCCAAAAATGACGTAAAAGACCCCAAAAATGGGTCTGGGGTCCCCAAAATGGGTCTGGGGTCCCAAAAATGACGTCAAAGAGCCCAAAAAGGAGGGAAAAGACCCCAAACATGACGTCAAAGACCCCAAAAATGACTTTAAAGAGCCCAAAAAGGACTAAAAAAGAGCCCAAAAATGACTTAAAAGACCCCAAAAATGGGTCTGGGGTCCCAAAATGGGTCTGGGGTCCCCAGAAAAGGGTCTGGGGTCCCAAAAATGACGTCAAAGAGCCCAAAAAGGAGGGAAAAGACCCCAAAAAGGGGCTTAAAAGACCCCAAAAAGACCCAAAAAAACGACTCAAAAGACCCCAAAATTGACTAAAAAGAGTCCAAAAATGACTTAAAACACCCCAAAAATGGGTCTGGGGTCCCAAAATGGGTCTGGGGTCCCCAAAATGACGTCAAAGACCCCAAAAAGGAGGGAAAAGACCCCAAAAATGACAAAAAAAGAGTCCAAAAGGGACTGAAATGACCCCAAAAAGGAGGGAAAAGACCCCAAAAATGGGTCTGGGGTCCCCAAAATGGGTCTGGGGTCCCAAAAATGACGTCAAAGACCCCAAAAAGGGGCTCAAAAGACCCCAAAAAGGGGCTTAAAAGACCCCAAAAAGACCCCAAAAAACAACTCGAAAGACCCCAAAATTGACTAAAAAAGAGCCCAAAAATGACCTAAAAGACCCCAAAAATGGGTCTGGGGTCCCAAAAATGACGTCAAAGACCCCAAAAAGGGGTCTGGGGATCCCAAAATGAGGTAAAAAAAACCCCCAAAATGGGTCTGGGGTCCTCAGGCCACGCCCCCTTCTGGCTCAGGCCACGCCCCCTCCGTTGAGTTGAATGGGGCTCAGGCCACGCCCCCCAAAGCAAAACCACGCCCCCTCCGTTGCTTTTAATGGGAGCTTAAACCACGCCCCCTCTCATTGCCTTAAATGGCGCTCAAGCCACGCCCCTTAAAAAGAAAAACCACGCCCACTCCATTGATTTCTATTGCGGGCAGACCACGCCCCCTCATAGAAACCACGCCCACTCACTTTCTTTCTATGGCGCTTAAACCACGCCCCCACGGTTAAACCACGCCCACTCAATTGCTTTCTATGGCGCTCAAACCACGCCCCCATGGTTAAACCACGCCCTCCCCATTGATTTCTATGGCGTTTAAGCCACGCCCACTTCACGGCTGGCCACGCCCCCTCCCTTTCCCCCTCACACCCCTTCCCAATTAAGGC